ACTTAAGCAGGCTCCACGTCCAGCGAGAGCCCAATGCGGGGCTGGAGCTCACAACCCTGAGCTGAAATCAAGAATTAGCCACTTAACCAACTGAGCCACCCAGGTGCCCCCAGTATATTGGTCCTAATGACTCTATCTTCAAAAGACATCCTAAGTCTTCCCTTTTTTGTCTACCTCTACAATATCATCTGTGGGTAAGTCATTATTATCTCTAACCTATACTAACTAAACTCCTTTTTTTTATTGGTTTCCCTGTGTGCATTCTCAATCCTTATAATCCATTTTCATATACTACCAGAATAATTTAAGAGAAAATTATGTGATGTTAATTCTTTAATTAAAATGCTTTAATGCATCCTTTTGCATTTTGAAAATTTGTAATCTTTACTAAGACCTTTAAGCCCCTCCCTATAGGATAGTTATAACACTTATTACCTAATCTGTTAATTTCTTATTGTCTGTGTCCATTTATACTCTACATTCTGGTTACAGAACTGCAGCAGAACAATTGTGTGTTTTGTTCCCTACCATAACCTTAGCAATTATGTGACCAATAAATACCTATCAATTAATTCTTTCATATTCCATCAAGTTGTCTGTATGCACAGTCTTCATGGCAGAGGTAACTTCTACATTTGCGTAACACTTTGGACACACCAGTGTTATAGTACTCAGGTGTTTAAAAACTGCAGTGTGAATTTTGCAAGAGTATAATCGTGTCATTTTCTTCTTTGAATTCCTGGGATCTTACTACCTGGGAAGGAGTAGGTAAATAAATGAGTATCTACTGAATAAATGAATGAATGAATGCATGCTATTGAATGCTACCAGAAACATGAAACATCATTTTTAAAAACGATTTATTTATTTGAGAGAGTCAGGGGAGGGAAGGGGCAGAGAGAGAGAGAGAGGATCTCCAGCAGACTTCTTGCTAAGCGCAGAGCCCAATACTGATGCTGGGCTCCATCTGGATGCAGACTCGATCTCACGATCCTGAGGTCATGACCTGAGCCAAAATCAAGAGCCCGATGCTTAACAAACTCAGCCACCCAGGCACCCTTCCAACAAATACTTTCTAATAAATCTGGTTAGAAAATTCTTAAAATAAAAATATACATGCTTCATTGATTAACCTCATGTGATGTTAAATGCTTCTATTGTATTTATTACTGTACAGTAGCTCATCTAATATTATTTGAAGTTGATGAGCTTTCTGTTAGCCCCTTACTGTCTTTAGTTTTGAGCTATCTACAGAGATAAGTGAAAAGCACTCAGCATAATTCTTCAGCGGCAGAATAGAAGAGAGTGACTAATCAGTATCTTAGAAAAACGCTTTTGTTATTTGCAAATATTTGTGAATGCCTTAATTTCATTTCCTTTTGTTTAGAAAAAATGAATCTGTATATAACCCTCTTTTGTGTATGTGTGTTGCTCTGGAGTACCCAGAGACTAGGTGATAAAGCTTTGTTTCTTTTGACCTTTTGACTACTTGGCACACTTGTAAATCTTGATATTTTCCCAAGGCATATTCTGCTTATCTCTTTCTGACAAATGAGTGGGTATGCTGGTGGGAATGTGGTTTATAAAAACATATACTTTTTTTTTTTAAGGTTTTATTAACAGAGAGATAGAGAGAGAGAGAGAGAGAGAGAAAGCAAGCGAGTGCACACAAGCAGGGGGAGTGGTAGGCAGAGGGAGAGGGAGAAGCAAGACTCCCCGCCAAGCAGACAGCACAATATAGGGCTCAATCCCAGGTCTCTAGGATCATGACCCAAGCCAAAGGCAGATGCTCAATCGACTGGGCCACCCAGGAGCCCCTATAAAAATATATACTCTATTAACAGACAAAAATGAAGAGCAGAATTATAAAGAGCAGGGTAGAATGGATGTGAAAATAACACAGTCACAGTTGTAAAGAGCAGGAATGGATGGAAGAGAGGGTAGGAGCAGGAATGGGAATAAATGAAAACTGAAGATGGTGAGAAACATGAAGAAGAAAAGAGACTAGGAAGAAAGGCACCAGGGACTGATTGCTCTTATTACTCAAAACCTCCAATCTGTCTCCACCCCCAACAGTCTGTTTCAGGCAACCTGCCAGCTCCCTGAAATGCTTCTGATTCTTAATGGACTCCTTGGGCCATTTTCCATTACTTATTTGTTCACTGCCTACACTCTGCAGATGTGGGGATATGAGGCTCAGTTTATTAGTTCTTCAATCCTGCTGTAACAAATTACCCTAATTTGGGGCTTAAGCAACACAAATTTATTATCTCTGTAGGTCAGAAGTCTGACATAGGTCTCATAGGGCTAAAATGAAGATGTCAGTAGTTTCTTGAGACTTTACAGGAATATTAATTTTCTTGCTCATTCTAGTTGTTGGCAGAATTTAGTCCCATGCTACTGTAGGACTGAGATCTATGTTTTCTTTTTGGCTGTCAGCTCAAAGCCATTCCCAACTTCGAGAGGCCACTCACGTTTCCTCACTCACGGCCTCCTTCTTCCATCTTTAATAAAACCAGCAATGGTGAGTTAAGTCCTTTTCATTTGCATTGCTCTTACCCTTCATCCCTTGTCACCTCCCTGACCACAGCTGGGAAGTTCTCTGCTTCTAAGAACTCATGTAATTAGATTGGGCCCCCATGAATAATCCAGGATAATCTCTCCATCTCAAGGTCTATAACCTTAAATACATCTGCAAAGTCCCTTTTGCCACGAAAATAATACATTCACGGTTTCTTTGGGGACCATTATTCTGTTCACCACATTCAAAGCATGGGATACTGAGCAATTTGATTTCTGACTATTGCTCCTAGAAACCTTAGAGGAAGAAGAGGAATGGGAACAATAAAATGCATGAAGCACATTAGTAGGGTCTTGTTTCATGTGAGAACATTAAATTAGAAGAGCCAATCAAGAACTGAAGGATTCCTGGGTAAGTGACATTCGTTCACTGAGGGCTCAAAATAAATTCTAATAGGTTCTTCAGGATTAACAGAAAGAAAAAGACAGCTAAAAGATAAATGGGCATTAATAGTAGAATTTTAGAAGGTACCTACAGATCACTTATTTTTAAAATGTTAAACTTTTTGAGATAATTATAGATTTACATGCAGCTTTAAGAAATAATACCTATATTCAGTTTCCCCCAATGGTAGCATTTTTTGTAACTTAATATTGTAATATCAAAATCAAGAAATTGGCATAGATAAAATTCATCTATTTTATATAGATTTCATCAGTTTTTATAAGCACTCATTTGTGTGTGTGTGTATAGTTCTATACAATTTTATTACATGTGTAGAGTTATGTGACCACAACCACAGTCAAGATGTAGAATGACTATGCAATTTACAAAGTGGGTTCTTTGAACTCTTAAGAGTTCCATCTAGGTGATTCAAGGATGCTGTAGTGAAAAGAGAGATAAAGGCCTAGGTCAAATAGTTACTATTTCAGGCACTTTCTCTTTAAACAGCAGTCTGTTTTTTTTCTATTTTATGTACTGAGACTACATATACTATTTGACAAAAAGATCCCATGGCTAAAAACCAATGGCTTAGTCCAACAGTTTCATTTTACAGATGAAAAGAGTGTATGCATCTGTATCTATGTAACCCAGCACACACTATGATGAGTACTCAAACTGTAAATGATTAAAATTTTGTATAGTTATCAGCATAAAACAAAACACTCAAAAAAATTTCCCAATTTAGCAGCCATAAAACTATAATTTAGGATATTTTCCCATCTTTATTAAATGTTTGGTTCACCTTAGAAATAATTTGTCAGGAGATCAATAAGAGTTACCCTATAGCATGGATAGAACTGAAGGGCATTATGCTGAGTGAAGTAAGTCAATCGGAGAAGGACAAACATTATGTGATTTCATTCATTCGGGGAATATAAAAAATAGTGAAAGAGATTAAAGGGGAAAGGAGAGAAAATGAGTGGGAAATAGTAGAGAGGGTGACAAACCATGAGAGCCTCCTAACTCTGGGAAACAAACAAAGGGTAGTAGAAGGGGAGTTAGGTGGGGGGATGGGGTGACTGGGTGACGGGCACTGAGGGGGGCACTTGACAGGATGAGCACTGGGTGTTATACTATATGTTGGCAAATTGAACTCCAATAAAAAAATATACAAAAAAAAAAAAAAGAAGAGTTATCCCTATCCCATACTTCTGTGAACAGAAGTAATAGTATACAGGATACGTTGGTTTTTGTTTTAAGCCTTTTTTTTTTAAGATTTTATTTATTTATTCCTGAGAGACAGAGAAAGAGAGTGAGAAAGAGAAACAGGCTCCATGCAGGGAGCCTGATGTGGGACTCGATCCCTGGTCTCCAGGATCAGGCCCTGGGTCAAAGGCAGGCTCTAAACTGCTGAGCCACCCAGGGATCCCTGGATATGTTGGTTTTACAGAATCTGGAGATACATGCTCAGCACTATGGAAATTTTAAGAGGAATACTGACAACTGGAGTATTTTGGAAGAGAACTGGGGTCTAACAGGAAGTCCTGGAAAATTGGAAAATAGGACACAAACTGAAAAATTGGACATGTTTTGTTTTTTAAAAAATTTTATTTATTTGAGAGAGAGTGTGTACCAGCATGAGTCGGGGGAAGGGCAAAGGGAGAAGGTGAAGTAGACCCCCTGCTGAGCACGGATCCCAAAGCAGAGCTTGATCTGACCCTGAGATCATGACCTAAGCTGAAGGCAGACGCTCAAGTGCCTGACCCCCATGAGCCCTGATAATTGGGCATGTTTTGCATATGGTAAAGATTTGGAGGAAACAGAATACCTTTTCTCAAGTGTCTAGAAAATAATCCTGTGAAAGAATTATTGTATATCTATAGAACAGTACCAATATATGTTATTATAAATGAAAAATGTTAGTAATATTAGGATATAAAATATGAAACCTAGTTAAAAAATAGCAGTATAATATGTTAAGTAGTCTAGGAGATGATGTAAGAAAATTACATGCAATCAGGTACTAATGACAAAATAGAGAACAAATTATTTAGTTTTATTAAAAATTTCCAATTTATAACCAAAATATACAACCACTACATTTAAAATCAGTTTATACACTCACAGTTAAAGTGCTAAGTAAAAACATTTACAAAAACTGACATCAGTCTACTGTAAACAAAATAAATCTACAAGAGCAGAGTGCAAAGCACATCCAGCTAATGTAAAAGTACAGTTCATGCTCTAACCAAGTGCACTTGCCCTATACATATCTCAACAACAGTAACTTTCCCACTCACTCGGAAATGAATGAACAATTTTAAACACATAAAAAAGAAACATGAAGAACTAATGCCACAAAATACAAGTCTTTAGCATAAACACTTTCTAACTAGATGCTTATATGATAAAAGCAAGATTAAGATTTTAGAATTAATTGTAGAATCACCTTCTAAATTTAATTCAGAATACGGTTTGAAAACTAAATTGCCAAGTGCTAGGTGTTTAAGAATAATAGTTTTTTTTTTTTTAAAAATAATGAAAAAAGGAATATCGTTTCTACCTTTGTATCTCTTGAAAAGAGGAGAAGGTGGTGGTCATGTTGATAACATAAACTGAGGAAAGATAGTTCTATACCAAATGAGCAGAGATGGAAGATAGTTAGGCTTAGCTGGACAGCAGGAAAACTGAGACTGAAATACAAAGTCTTAAAAGAGTGTTTGTGACCGATATCTAAAATGCTCCTGACATATTTCTTGAACTGAAAAACAGGATCAGCAAGGCCCTGACTTCAATGACCAATAGATACAAATGACTAGCTCCCTCTTCAAGGTCACTCAAAATATACAGCACTTTCAGACATCACATAGGTTAAGGGAAAGAGAAAGAGATTCCCAAATTAGGTTACTTAATGATATTTCTCACCTCAGGAGTCCCACCAACACGAGTTATTTCCATTTTTATTTTAAAGCTTAATATTCTAATTGATAGTAATTTGTGCTAATAGCATTGTGTTTGTCTTTAATGCAGATTTATATTTAAGAAGGATAAAAGGGGGATAGTCACTAACACCTGAATGTGAATTAAAGAAAATTTCTAACTTCTTAACACTTGAAGATAGATTATACTTCAGAAGTACTGATAAGGAAGACTGGGGAGAGAAGGCAGGTAGGAAGGTCTTGAGGAATGTAGCATTTGAGGAATAGGCCAGATGGCACAAGGTTCAGGGTATCACCTAGAAAGAAGTGTACCAAGTAATTATTGAAAGACCCAAGTCAAGTCTCTCCACCATAAAAGTATACCTAAATTGAGACACCTAATTAATATGAAGTGCTCTAGGTCAGTCTTATTGTCTAATCTGTTGCCCTCATTATTCATAACAGTATTATTTATATGAGGAAATATAATGTGAGCTTAGAACAATCCAATTTACAATCTCTTAGATAACAGTTCTTCTAAAATTCTGGATTTTCTGTGTAGGAGCTTCATATTTTTTACATGCATTTTTAAACTCATATACTGTTATTCTTAGAACCTGAAACAAAGGTATAAAGAAAATCTTTACATGGCATTGTAAGGCAAATCTGTTGACTCTGTAACATTGTAGTATTCATTATTTTAGAATGCCTACCAAGAAGGTAAAATTCTATGGCTTGCAAAATTTGAGTCCATACTACAAATTGTGTATATGTGTGGATACTTATTTTGCCTCTAAATATTTATAGACTAATCATCTGATATATGATGATATCCTAGGTTATGAAAGTTTTTATGTAACTTACATATTCCCAAAAGGTATTTGTTCAATTACAAAGATTATTTTGTTTAAATATTCTTAAAACTAAGCAATTTAACTACAAAATGGAGAATTTTCCTGATAGACCTGTGGTTATCTATAGTTTGAATCTCCTTCATAAAGCCACTGGTAGGTTGATAAGAAGAGTTGGAATAAGGAGTCAATATATTTGTTCTAAAAGATACTTTTTCTGTTTGTTTCTTGAATATGTATTATGAAATTGGAAACACCATTTTTGGCAAAACCGGCAATTTTGCAGAGTTCAGAATAATACTATCCAACTATGATGATACAGTATAATCTCTTTAAACTGTTCTTTCTGAGAATCAGGTCATCTACAAAGGATTATCTGCTGAGATGACCACAATAACCTAATATACACTAAGACAAAACAAAGGCTCACAGACATACACAAAAGCTCACATTAAATAAATGTAAGCTTTAGGTATCACATATACAGAAAGTAAAACAACTCATAACTATTATTAATTGTAACATATATTTATATAAACAATCCCCTAAATTCAATATCAGCTTAAAATACAGCAAGTCAGTATTTTCTAAATTAAACAATTTTTAAATTAGAAGAAACAGTTTCCATAGCTCTTTCAAATAAAAATAAGACAATTTAATAACTTTTGAGTGTCAAATGAACTTTTCTTTTTGGGGCTGGGGGAAAGCAATAGTGGTGGTAGTATCTTTATAATACCAAAGTAAATGTTTAAACTGCAGTCACTCCTTCACATATGCAATACTTTGAAACTTCAATGAAAAAATAAAACTCTCAAAAATAAAATTTGGCATTTGAAAACAAAAGCAGAAAAGTTGAAGTTGGTGCTGAAGACATGTGAAATGGAATAATCCTAGAGAAGCTGATTTTTTAAAAAAGATAAATGATAAAGAATTCAGATTTACTCTGATAACTCACAGCAAAGGTAGAAATAGCACCTGATGATGAGAACTTCCAGACTAATATTTTCAAGTGAGACTCCTTTTTATGATTAAAAAAATAATTTTAAATTCACATATAAAGAAAATACAGTATCTTCAAGTACATATTCACCTCAGTTCAATGTAAAGAACTTCTGTGTTGATTTTATTTCAGAAATACAGAATTATTTCCTATTTCTGCTGACAAGAGTAGTGTAGGGAAAAATGATCTGAGGCAGGGTAAGGGAGTAAAGGACGACAACTATAAGTGTTGTTTTCAAAACTGAGGAGGGGAGTAGTAGTCAGAGAAATAGAAAAATGGTCAAAGGATAAATACAAATTAAATCACACTAGGATTATCTGCTTTATCTTACAAATCATCCCATTATCAAAACCCAGAAAATCTTCAATGAAATGTCTGGACCTCAGATTCAAGTTTAATAAATGTAATAACGAAACATGCAGAGCCAAAGAACTGAAAATAAAGGTTTGTTTCTTCTTTACAAGCAATCAAAATAATATTGTAACATAGCTCTGCCTGAATGAGAGAAGCTGATCATCTAATTTAATTTCTGGAAGCCAGGAAAGTTGCCTGATACAGTGAACTGACCAAAGACAGGAATCAAGTATAACCAAAGAAATCACACCAGAAACCAGTACATCTTCCTACATCAACTTTCCATTATTCTTCTCAACCCATCAGACACTGAACCCAATACTTAGATTATAAACCTACAGGTCAATGTGTTCAACAAATTGATATGAACTAATGCAGACAATTAGAGAAAGGCAATCATTTTTAAAAGTAACAGGAACCTCTTTGGCCTAGTTCTCAGAGAACACAAATCTCTAAGAGAACTCTGCTGAGGGATTGTACTAATGGAATCTCTAGATTTCATTAGATAGTCAAGAAAGTTTTATGAAAACATCTTCTGTATAACCAGAAAAAAAAAGAAACACATTTATCTCTATTAAAGCGGGAACTGCTTATGGCAATCTGGCAACTATACTTATTCAATGAATCTAAGAACATTTTAAGAATAATTATTGAATGGAAAAATTTCAATCCACTCCTCTGAAATTATTTTTACATTTTATAATTATTTTAATGTAGGTAAAACCTAAAAGCTTTTTAATTAGCTATACGGGCCAACACTATCACTGCTTTGTTTGCTAATTTTATTGTGAATATTTTTTGTTTAAAATTTGGCTAACTAGCTATATTTGTATTTAAGAGAACAGAGACCACAGAATTTTATATCATTTTTATCCTGTATGTCAGTTTTAAGGTGCTTATGTTGGTGCTTTAGGAGACTCTTCCTATGGGAAAAAAAAGGTCATGTCAATTATTTGTAACCTTTCTTTCATTTTCATTTCCTTAAACTTTTATTATCTGTAATATAATTTCCTCCTTAAAATTACTCAAAATCATAACTGGAAAACAAAGTTAACATATCTGAATCCTACAATTTAAGTATAGATTGCATTAACAGTATAGGCTGACCTAGTAAATATAGTTCATGGGAAGAATAACAAGAATAAAAGCAAGCCTAAATAGTGATTACAAAATGGTCAAGGGACAACCAAATTACAGGCAAGTGGAATTTGAGACACTACTTAATCTAATACCCTTGTTTTTTCATTTTCAGATCAGAAAACCTGAGGTCCTAAAAGGTAAAACTTTAAAGTTACAAAGCTCTTTGAAAACAGAGGCAATACTAGGTATCAGGCTTCCTGATACAAAATTCTGTAGTACTTAAAAAATAACATAATGCATTTTTACTAAGCATTAGGGAAAGAAATCTGCCAATTCAGAAAACAGAAATTATGAAGCTCTAAAGCTTTTTCTTTTAAGCCAATAAGCACAACACAATTAAAGTAATATTTGCAAGTTAGCAATATAAACAAACTGACTTACATAACAAAAACCCGAGGGCTGCTACAGCAAAAACAATAATAATAAAGTAGTTCACCTTACATCAGGAAATATGACAAAATAACAAGCTTAGAAATATCACTGTCTTATAAATACTGAAGTTACTAGTAAATGGTAATCATCAAAATAATGGAACACTGAATCTTCAAATTCTGAATTATTACAAAGTAAAAACTTATTTATCAGGAAAAACTGGTGACAGTAGCCAATAAAATTAGAATAAATTAAGAGCAATGCTAGCGTACCAATGAAAATCTTCAAGAAAGGACACAATAGATTTCTTGAGATAAATGATTATTAAAAAAAAAATCTGAAGGGAACTATTCTTTAATGCATTTAAATAGACTGAACTACTCTCTTTTGTAGGAAGTAATGTATTGGTATGGGATTTGACTAAAATATAAGAGATGCTTTACTTTCTTTTATCTTTATGGCAACAAAATTTTATTTTCTAATTAGAGATCACAGAATAGAAACCATGCTCATTAATTTATTATATTAAATCTCTGTAAATCAACCAAAGAGGAATGTTTAAGAAATGGCTGATTTTAGGTAGAGTATAACATTTTCTTTCCTAGAAGATTTTGGATCCTGGGAGAAAACTATAATCCTGTATCAATTTGACTATTAAAGAAGTATAGGATTAAAATTAAATTAGAAAAAAATCCCAGAAGACTTCAAACAATTAGATGAAGGATAAGGGTTGCTTAGTCCTCCTATTCCTTTCCCTCTCGTATCACTGGAACAAAAAAGGAAGAGAAGTAAATTATGAAGAGAGGTCAATGTAATTCTTTTCATATAAAATAGAAATGACATAATAATGTATAAAGGCGGCTACTGGGAAACATGAATTGAATGTAAACACTTCTTATTTTAATCAGTTGTAAAACGGCATAAAAGAAGTTTAAAAGAGTCATTAGTTCCTTTGTAAATCTAGGTTCCATAAAATGCTCTTTTGTGTGTTGATGTGTGGAAAAGAATGGAGAACTCCTTATTTTATGTAGGTTAAAAATTATATATACAAACATACAATTAAGATAATGTTACAGCTTAAAATTTAAAGGTCTGCCATGATTAATATCAAGCTACAGTTACTACCTTTTAAAAACTTTTTCTTTATCAGAATTAAGCACATGAAAGTTCTCAAAGAAAAAAAAGTTATAGGGCCTATACTCCTCTATATTTTTCTGTCTTTCTTTTTTTAACGATTTTATTTATTATTTATTCATAAGAGACACAGAGAGAGAGAGAGGTAGAGACACAGGCAGAGGGAGAAGCAGGTTCCTCCCAGGGAGCCTGATGTGGGACTCAATTCCAGGACCCTGGGATCATGCCCTGAGCCAAAGACAGATGCTCAACCACTGAGCCACCCAGGCATCCCTTCTATATTTTTCTTATGCTTCAATGAAATCAAGCTAATGTTTTTATATAATTCCATGTCAAAAGAAAAATATAATGGAGATCCCCAAATTTCTGTTGAGAGTGAACTACAAATTTAACTGTATAATATTTGAGAGCATACTCTGGTATACATATATTAAAGAGCTAACACAGTTTAAGGGCATAGCTACTGTTTTTAAAAGGTTAATTGGATTGTTGATTTAAAGATTATACCAAATAAATACTGGTCTAATGGCCTATTTTGTTGTTGTTGCTAAATACTACTAAAGACCATAACTTTGTTTTCTATAACCTCCAAATTCTAACAAAAACTAATAATATCCATAGAGCAATTTACAGAATACAGAGCACAATAATACATGTTGTCTCATTTGATCCTTATGACCAAAGTCCAGTGAGATAGGTTTTGGGACCAAAAATTACCTTATCCTCATTCTATACTGAAGAAATGGAGACTAAATGACTTGTCCTGCTCACATCATAATTATGGGTCTTTGAATTCCAAGCCTAACAGAATTTCACTGCACTTGATGTAAGTCATCCAAGTGATAATACATAAATGTATCTTTGGCATGTCAAAAGCAGTATAAATATTATCATAATGAAATTTTGGTATGTTATTGTTTTCTAAGCTCTGGTCAATGATCCACTAAAAATTTTTTTAAGTAGTTCCTTTTATATCACAGGGATATAGCCTCAAGCAAGATAGTTACAATTTGTTATACCCAGCTCTTATCACAAATAAACTAATGAAGTAGGATAAAATGTAGTATATTTTTCTAATTTAAAGAGATTCTTAAAATTTTCACATATCTGCTCTAAGAAGCAGAAAAAGAAAATCATTCTTAATACAGGTTGTTGAATATTCACTTACCCAACTAGTATACAAAGATCTAACTTCACCCAACAAGCACGTAAATACTTCTAAGAATTGCTCTTCACCTTTTAAGTTAATATAAAGTATTGGTACAAGTTTGTGTATATATTTCTTGTGCAAGTTACATATTTATGACTTGCCACATGTTATTCTGATAGAGACATTATTTCACTCAATTTACATTTACATCCTTCAAATTCGTTTTAGGTGAGATTCTCACTATTAAGGCTAAAGAGGGAGTTTTATGACATGAGTAGTTCATATGTAAATATTTATTGAAAAAAATATATTTATTGAAAGACCTACAATGTACTAAGCTCTGTGCTAGCTGTTACTAATCAATTGTTCCTTGAAACCAATTATTGTTTTGAGTTTATATTACCCTTTGCTTTGATTATTGAATAAAGTAAATTAAACAGTATTGGTGAAATCAAAGTACTTTTTGAAAGCCTCTTGATTATATATTAACATTTTAGAGACAACTATTATTTTCTCAGTTGTCAGCTGAACAAATACTAAACATTATCACATGCCAATCAAAACACAAATTAAAGTTAAACATATGGTAAGAAAGCTGTCCCAACTTGTTCAAGTTGGTTTAAGAGAACTGAGACTTTGCAATTACTGGTTTGACATAGATAACAGATTCTTTAAAAAAATTTAATTTAAACATCAGTTTGATAAATAATGTGACCCAAACTACATATTGTTATTTAAAACAATGCATTGATGATATTAAGTAAATTTTGTGGAGCAAAATTAAGATACTGAGAGTAACTGAAAGGTCAACATAGCATTTATATATATTACAACAGCGAGTTTAATAAAGACTTGTAATGAATATATAAAAAACAGCACAAAGTTAAGATTTTCACAGGGATGTGCACACAACTGTCTACACTTGGCCTACTTGTACAAGAAAATCAATTAACATTTTGGCAATTGATAATATAATGCAGATGGTAATGGATGACAACATCTTTGAGCTCAAACTGGTACCTTCTATTTTAACTTCTTATTTTTGTTTCTGAATGTTTGTTTTGTTCCTTTCATGCTGTTCTCAGGAGAGATTCTCAGAAAAAAAGCCTATGAATTACTGAGTTATTATATAAATGAGTTGTAAGTTTGGCCTTCAGAGGAAAGGTTTACTTACTAATTGTCAGTTATGAGGGAATTCAGACCCTGCTTATCCAGTACTAACTCCAGTTAGTTCCAAGGACAAAGACAATGAAGACAGAGGAAAAAGAAAAATGCTTTGGGGCTAACTGTTCAAATATGTTCTATAAAGAGTTAATCATAAACATAAGATATATGTACTTTGAAAAATATGATATACAAATCATCAGAAAACTTTTTTTGCAACACCCAATTTCTTAGTATTTTTCAAAAGAAAAGAAAAAAGTACACATGAATTAAACACATGTCAAGGAATGTACTATAGTAGCCTTCAAACAAATCTCTTAAATCCTTAATAATCTTAATCCCTTATATTTCACAATGCTTTACAGTTTTCAAAGAGCTTTCATATGATTTTTCATTTGACTCCCATTCAACAACTTTGTGAGGTAGGTACTTATCTTCTATCTTCATTTATAAACAAGGGAACTGAGGCTCAGAGAAGGGTACTTGATAAAGGTCAAAAATTGGCACATGGGAAAGCCAGGCTTCTCTAGAGTTTAGAATATTTTTCAAAATGTGATTCTTGTATTACCTGCATTAAGAATCACCTGTAGTATTCTTACAACTACAGACTTTAAAGTCCTACTATCTTTGACTTACTGAGTAAGAATCTTTAAGAGTGGTGCCCCAAATTCCACATTTTATAATGGACAATAAAGTGAAGAATAATTGCATATCAGGTAATGATATAAAAGCACAACATTAAGTCCAGCTAGATATTTATGTGATATAATATGATGCCATCAGCTCATTATCAGGGGGCTAGTTTGAAACAGCCTGCAGCTTGATTACAGATTAGAACCACCTAGAAAGCTTTAAAAAGAAAAAAACCCAATTCTCCTCTGAATGAGAGGAAGGTGTTGAACATTAGAGGTTCCCCAAGTAATTCTTATCTGTAAGCAGGACTGAGGACCACTTATTTAAATATGCTATTCTATAAAACACATCCAGCATTTTCCATAATTTTTCTTTCCCTTATGATAAATTTCATGCCTAATAAAGTTGATAGTTTTTACTGTAAATTATTTAAAGATTACATGACAAAATGTCAAACATTTTTGAATTGATATTGGTAAGACTAAAAGATACTTTACAGCAAGACTAATCATGCTTCATTTAGTTACAATGATTTTTCAAATATCTCAAATTAATCACCACTTTGGACTTAGGTTATATATATTTCAACTGTAAAAAAAAAGATCTAGAATCTGAAACAAGAATGTGGGACAAAAAGCTATAGCCTCATGGCTACTGGGAAATGCAAATACAAACAATCAAGTCACTAATAGGAGGGGCCTGGGTACCAAGATCTGGCGGCTTTGGCAAGATCACATCTCACTGTAGAAAAATACAAACAATGAATATAGAGAAAACATTTTGCCATTTGTAATTGTGGTTCCCACAAAAAAGCTTATAATGTATGATGCTAATCTAATTACATGCCTCCATGGAACAGATCTGAACATGGTGTTCTCTGTGAATCAATACTACTACATGGGAAAAGATGGCTACAAATTAAACTTCTTCCACCATGCATATGGTTAAGTTATAAAAACACAGCCAGTAAAAGTAATATTTACAAAAGTAGTAAAGACAGCACAATTATAGAGAAAAAGATGTCCATCTCCGCTTTTATTCCACTGCTAATCCTAATCCTGTATGTCTCTGGATGAAGATTATTTTGATAGGATTTTTTTGAAGAGTCTTCAATGGACTATTCAGATTCTTCTGTTGATCTTATATCTTATTAGCTAAAATACCCTTGCTGATTTATCAAATTCTCCTACAGTTTAAAAACATAGTTCTTTTTCAACTTAGTAGAAAGAAAACTACAAAGTCCAACTATTCATCTGAGAAATAAACCTTGCATAGAAAATTTCCTTAATTCTGAAATTTTGTTTTTTTAATACAACTACCAGAATGTTATCTCACAGCTAGTTGATATCATATGAAAGTTCACTACAAAGCAGTCACCACATGTTTAGGGTTTTTCTAAATATAAAGATAAATGGGTTTATAAAAATGCTTACCAGACAAATAATTATCTTTTCACAACCTAGAAATAAGAATTATTTATGTGATGATATAATTATTAGCATTTTTGATGCCTTGATGTTCCAAATTTGATGCAATATAAAAAGCATAAATTTATTTTTCTAGTGGACACAATCTGTACCTGACTGAAAGCATGATAACAGTGAGTTACAGCAATCAGTCACGCAAAGGCAAAGAATAAAATCTGCTTTTTAAACAGCACAGGTTTTCCACCTTCAGACAAGTTAAGCACTGGTTCCATCTTCTTCAATAACTCGATTCATGCTAGTACCATGTGTGATGTGAGTCATGGGATTACTACTGAGGTCTCTGATGCTGCTATGTCGTGACTGTTCATTGAGCCGATGAGAACTACTGTGCCTGGAGTGATCCGTCAGTCGTGACATGCTGCCATGAGGTAGTCTCTCTTCCATTCCTCTATAACTGCAGGGAGTGTACCTAACATACAAGAGTTAATTTTGAAGCAGGTAACACAACACACGAGACAATAAAACTAAGAATTGTCATGAAAATGCCTCATTAAGTAAAGTGATTAGGAAACCAACAAGTTACTACCAACTTATGATTTACAGTAATTTCAGAAAGTAGATTTATTCACATGGTTGACCAGAAAGGGAGAAACCCATCTCATTCAATTCAGAATTAAGGTCTTATTCCTTGCAAAGGGACAGAAGCTAAGATTAAACAGAGTTGGCTGATAAACAGCTATGTGCAAAGTATGGATACTTTGCTCATTCAAATGAATTTTGGGTTATGGGGTGGGTTCTGGCAGAGGAGAACAATATCAGAAGAAATACAGCATTGTCCCTGGAAGTCTATAAGGCTGGTTATAATCAGTAGTACAACATACTCAAATTTTACTGAAAGACTAGGGTTGAAAGAGGGAGCATATGAAATTAGAGGAGAAATTAGTGTATTTCTAAAAAAAAAAAAAAGTGAATGAATTAGCAAGCAATGATGACAGTATGTGCTGACAGCTTCTTTCTAGATACCCCAGTTAACAGCTAACCAACTACCTACCTGTAAATGTCTTAATTATTTTTCATTAGGGCTTGAGGCTGTGAAGATGCTATTTCATAGAAGCTACATCTACTTAAGTATTCTAGTAACATCCTCAAAACATTTGTACCCTATATTCCAGATAAAGCAAATTCTTTTTTTTTAAGATCTTTTATTTATTTATTCATGAGAAACACAGAGAGAGAGCAGAGACATAGGCAGAGGGAGAAGCAGGCTCCTCACAGGGAGCCTGATGCGGGACTCGATCCCCAGACCGGGATCACACCCTGAGCCGAAGGCAGACGCCCAACCGCTGAGGCACCCAGGTGTTCTGCAAATTCTCTATGTGTAGCCCAAGACTCAGCCTTTGAGAAGTACAATGTATGTGAACTGGGCTGCAATGCTTATTGCAGGCAGGCAGTCTTCTCTCCATTATTGTGCTTATCTTGAAACGCAACAGTGGGAGCATCAAAGATAAGAAAACATACATTTGTATACACCTCTTTGTAAAAAAGTAATTTAGGATAATCAAGCTTAAAGAAAATGTAACCGAATATAATTTATACCTTTGATTAATATATATAACTTATTTCTAAAATTAAAAAGGATTTTTTAAAATTAAAAAGCAGGTCATTCCTTTTTAAAATAGTCATCAGGGATACCTGGGTGGCACAGGTGGTTAAGCATCTGACTTTTGGTTTAGGCTCAGGTCATCATTTCAGGGTTGTGAGATCAGCCCTTTGTGGGGCTCCATGCTGGATTTTCTCTCTCTCTCTCTCTCTCTCTCTCTCTCTCTCTCTCCCCCCCTCTGCCCCTCCCCCCACCGCACCCCCTGCTCACATGTATACTTGTTCTCTAAACAAATAATTTTTAAAAAATTCATCAAAAGAATGAATCATTAGGAGCTGAAGACCTACTGGCTGTCAAAAATCATTCATCATGTTTTCACAATAATTACAAATTTCATGACTCAATATGAATCATTTATAAAATTTAAGATTTTATTATTTATTTATTAAGATCTAGATCAATTAAAAAAATGTTTTATTTATTTATTCATGAGAGACGGAGAAAGAGAGGCAGGGACACAGGCAGAGGGAGGAGTAGGCTCCACACAGGGAGCCTGATGTGGGCTTGATCTCCGACCCCAGGATCACACCCTGAGCCGAAGGCAGACACTTAACCACTGAGCCACCCAGGTGTCCCAATTTAAAGATTTTTAGAGACTTATTCATACACTACTGAGGTGATCTAGTTTTATAAAAGTGCTTGTCAAATAATGTTTGTGTCAGATCACAAGAGTTTAGATTGAGGAGTCCTGGGGTGCCTGGGTGGCTCAGTGGGGTAGGCATCTGCCTTCAGCTCAGGTCATGATCCTGAGGTATTGGGATGCAGCCATTAGGTTATAGGCTCCCTGCTCAGCAGAGAGTCTGCTTCGCCATCTCCCTCTGCCCTTCCTCCCAGCTCATGATCTCTCTCTCTCTCAAATAAATAAATATTTTCTCAAGAAGTTGAGTTCTTTTATTTCTATTTATTTTTATTAAAAGATTTATCCAATCATTTTAGAGAGAAAGAATGAGAGAGCACATGAGTGGGAGGGGGTGCAGAGGGAGAGAAGCAGACTCTCCACTGAGTGCGGAGCCCCCACGGGGTTGATCCCACCAACCGGAGATAATGACTTGAGCCAAAATCAGAAGTTGGAAGCCCAATCGCTGGAGCCACTTAGGCGCTTCTATTTTTTATTTTTTTTAAGATTTTATTTTTAAGTAAGCTCTACATCCAGTGTGAGACTTGAACTTCCCACCCTGAGACCAAGAGTTGCATGCTCCACCAAGTAAGTGGAGTGCCCCCCAGAAGTCCTTTTAAAATGATAAAAGAAAGCATGTCTTTTGTTTCCAGTTTGAATAAAGCAAAAAAGAAAATTTAAGAATGAAAAAATGCATTTTAAATATTTAAAAAATCTTTTATGTTAAGTAGGTAAAAGTATTTAATTCTTTTCTATTAAAAGATATTTCACATTCAGGACAAATAGTTTTAAATTTGATTTGTATATTTTGGTAAAATTACACTGTTTGCAAATGAAAATATTTCAGAATGAGCTTGTTATTCTAACTAATTACTAATTACTAACTAACTACTAATTACTAATAGTAATTACTATTACTATTCTAACTAATAATTACTATTACTAACTAAAATAATCATAATTCTTGTCCTAAAGTGAGTGAAAGATTTTTCCAAATATAATTTGCCAGGTAATTTTGAGATCTTAAACCTCTCAAATGACTTCATAAGTATCTACTTAAAATGAATATGGCAAATGGAAAAAAAGCAAAGTATGATACAGTTTAATGAATAATATCAAAGTAATTTAAAAATAAAAACAAATCATTATTTAAAAATATGAATTGGGTATTTTCTAAAATAAAACCTAAATCTTTGGGTCTAACAAATAAGACTCAAAAATATATTTTCCATAGAAAAAATTACTATGCTGAGTTCTTATGTTTATTTATTTAAGTGAAATATTAAGGTTATCCACAAAATTCTAGAATATGAACAACCTGCCTATGGATAATTAGGAATCAACTACACAGAAAAATAAATTTAATTATAGCATTTAATCTCAATCGTATATATGGGAATTACCAGATTTATTTATCTTTTGCCAATCATTTAAACAACTGTGACTGGGGTGCTTGAGTGGTACAACTGGCTAAGCATCCAACTCTTGGTTTCAGCTCAGGTCATCATCTCAGAGTTATGAGATCCAGCCCTGCCTCAGGCTCCACACTCAGCATGGACTCTGCTCTCTGCTTAAGTCTCTCTAGCTCTCTCTCCCTCTGTCCTTCCTTCCCCTCTCCTTCTGTCCCCTTAAGATTTCTCAATCTTTTTTCTTTCTTTCTTTCTTTCTTTCTTTCTTTCTTTCTTTCTTTCTTTCTTTCTTTCTTTCTTTCTTTCTCTTTCTTTCTTTCTTTCTTTCTTTCTTTCTTTCTTTCCTTTCTTCTTTCTTTCCTTTCTTCTTTCTTTCTTTCTTTTTCTTTTTTTTTTTTTTTTGATTTCTCAATCTTAAAAAAACCACAACACAGGATGCCTGGATGGTTGAGTGTCTGCCTTTGGCTCAGGGCGTGATCCCAGTTTGGGGATCAAGTCCCACATCAGGCTCCCTGGAGCAGCCTGCTTCTCCCTCTGCCTGTGTCTCTGCCTCTTTGTCTCTCATGAATAAATAAATAAAATCTAAAAAAAAAAAACAACCCACAACACTGTGACCATCTACTCTACTATGCAATATAAAAATGTACATTAATTTTAATATAAGCTTAGGAAAAATGATAGGAAAGGTTAATTTGCTGAAAAGATAATACGATATATTCCAACATCAAAATGAAAGAAACATAAGATAACTTAGTCTTTTTCATTCTCTATACTAAGTACTGCCATTAATATAAATGAATTCATTTTGGTTTAACCAGTGTCTCATTATTCATTCCGTAGCTTTCCCTTGTCATGTCACCTACCTATCACCTAACACTCATTCCCAAACCTCCACCTACCTACTCATATACTTCCTTTTCTACACATCATCTCATCTAACCAACAATTACTTATTCTTTGAAGTTGACATACATGTGTAGGTGTATTTACCTTAGTCTACTTTATTTCATGTAGCAATGAGATCAATAAATACCCATCAAGGAGTCTGGACTAGAGTGAATATTGAGAAGCAGGTGTGTGTGTGTGAGATTTCATAACCAGATACTATTAAATGATGAGAACAATGGCTAAAAGATAGTGTTACTTAAAAACTGACAGATAAGAAAGAAATCTCCACGAGATGATTTCTGGAATTATGAAAACCCCTATTTAGACTCTTAAGTCCAACACGGTCTCAGAATCTTTCAGATCTGCTCTTATGTTCTGGCTACGGAAGAATGCCTTATAGTAGGAGTATCTGTGTACCACAGAGAACACCCTTCATAGGCTGTCATTTTAAGTTCTGGGGTCTGAATTCCTGGGAAACACCCGCATCATTTCTTTTTTTTCTTTTTTTAAAAAGTAATCTCGGGCAGCCTGGGTGGCTCAGCGGTTTAGCGCTGCCTTCAGCCCAGGGCCTGATCCTGGAGACCTGGGGTTGAGTCCCACATCGGGCTCCCTGCACGAACCCTGCTTTCCCTCTGCCTATGTCTCTGCCTCTCTCTCTCTCTCTCTCTCTCTCTCTCTCTCTCTCTCTCTCTCTGTCTCTCATGAATAAATAAGTGAAATCTTAAAAAAAAAAAAAAAAGTAATCTCTACACCCAACTTGGGGCTCAAACTGACAAACTCAAGATTAAAAGTTACATGCTCTACCAACTGAGCCAGCCAGGCACCCCTAAATGCCCATATTATTTCTAAAGTCATTAGTTATTTAATAGATTGGTCTATGGATAAATAGGTAGATA